ATATATATATATATATATATATATATATATATATATACATACAATGGAGTATTACTCAGCAATCAAAAAAGAATGAAATCTTGCCATTTGCATCTACGTGGATGGAACTAGAGGCTATTATGCTAAGCAAAATTAGTCAGAGAAAGATAAATATCATAGGACTTCACTCATATGAGGACTTTAGGACACAGAACAGATGAACACATGGAAGGGAAGCAAAAATAATATAAAAACAGGGAGGAGGACAAAAACATAAGAGACTCTTAAAGATGGAGAACAAACAGAGGGTTACTGGAGGAGTTGTGGGAGGGGGGATGAGCTAAATGGGTAAGGAGCATTAAGGAATCTACTCCTGAAATCATTGTTGCACTATATGCTAACTAACTTGGATGTAGGTTAAAATAAATAAATTAATAAAATAAAATATAACATGTAGCTCTTCACGTGTCCCTATAATTGACAATTACTTGAAGAGATCAAAGTCCAATCCATATCATGTGTGCTATTGCCTCAGAGTACCATTATTTATACCATCTCTCATTGCTAAGGATGCCTATCGGGGAAAACGACAAATCGAGGTTCTTCAAACCTACTTCTGGTTAACTATGAATAAGTCATAGAAGTTCCAGTTTTATTATGGCTCTGATCTAATTTTTCTAAAATTATTTTACCCAGGTTAGGGGTGCCTGTGTGGCTCAGTCGGTTGAGTGTCCAATTTTGGCTCCAGTCATGATCTCATGGTCCGTGAGTTCTAGCCCCACATCGGGCTCTGTGCTGACAGCTCAGAGACTGCTTCAGATTCTGTGTCTCCCTCTCTGTCCCTCCCTTGCTTGTACTCTGTCTCTCTCTCTCTCTCAAAAAATAAACATTAAAAAAAAAGTTTAAAATTATTTTACCCAGGTTAGCCATCTGCCACCTGAAGATCATTTATTTTCTAAAACTTGTGGCCAAAGTTAGACATGTGTGTATTCTAATGCTGAAGGGAACACCCATGGAGGGGAATAGCCTGGTTCATCTGGTTTGTTTCATGTTTTATCACACCATATAGCACCCAGCTTGATGAAGGAGTTGGACTCCAGCATACTGAACAAAAACCTTGCTCTGAACTTGTTGGCTCATTTAAACTTGTGAGACATCTTACACTGTCTCCCAACTTTGAAATGTATATTGCACTATCATTTGGAAAGACTTGTTAAATGTTCAAATAAACTGACCCTGAGATCCCACATCCTGGCATACAAATAATAGCAAACTGGTAATTATAAGCTATATTCAAGAAGAAGCCATCACAATCTTGTCAGTAAGTTAAAAATATTGAAACAGCCTACACATCCAAAGGAAGAGTAATGGTTTAGTTAATTAGGTATAGATATATAATTAAATAACATACAAACATTAAAAAAAAACCACTAATATAGACTGTAATTTTATATTTTTGACATGTAAAATAAAAAGATAAATTACCACCTCAACTCTCAGAAATTACAAAATAAAAATTAAAGCAAAATTAAGTAATGTTAAGTAAAGGACAGCCTTGCTACTGCTTTATTTGATTTAAAACTTAATTCACAGAGTTTGGCTCCCATTATTGTAAAAATCTGAATTAATTTTGAACTCAACTTGAAAAATTGCCATGATAAGTCCACACATAAAACATTTCTTATACTTTAATTCTAAATATGAAGAAATTTTTGCATGTTGTTAGATTCATTTCTGTTTTTTATATATAGCCTTTATGAAAAGTAATGTCCCTACATCATTCAGATACATTGAAGAAACATAAATATGTTTATTTACTATATAGGCAACAAATAGTTATCTATAGAAAATGAAAGGTTGAAATGTCTGATTTAGGTCTATTCAGCCATCAACCAATCTAATTTATTATTCGATCTTTTTAAAATTTATTTTAAAGTGAGAAAAAGAGAGACATGAGCGGAGGAGAGGGGCAGAAGCAGAGGGGGAGAGAGAGAATCTTAAGCAGCCTCCATGCTCAGTGTGGAACTCGACACACGGCTCCCTCCCACAACCCTGGGATCAAGACCTGAGCCAAAATCAAGAGTCAGTGGCTCAACCAACTGAGCCACCCAGGTGCCCCTATTATTAGATTTTTTAAGTTATCTTTTTTCTACCTGGATTCTGGGCAAAGTGTGTGTTTCTATTTTTAATTTACTCCCCAAGATAAATCATTTGATTTGGTTTGTGTTATTACCAACAGATCAATTTACTTTAGAGGACTTTGTATGAGATATTCTGGTTAAGGTGAAGATAATTTGTTACCATGGAAGCACAGAAGTAAAAATAGCACCTGATGAGCTGGTACACTTACCCATCATCTGAGAGAGATATATTTCAAACAAAGTAGCATTAGACTCAGAGATTTCCCTTCATTATTTAAACCCCACTAGTTGAAAGATAGTTGCTCTTTACTTCTCAAACAATAATGCAGTTGAAAGTTTAGAAAATAAAACATACAACTACTGCTAATATACAAGAGGCTACAACCTGGCACATTTCAACAATGATATATATGTACTGAGGAAAACATCCACACTCACTACCATGCCTTTAAAACATTCACGATTTAATAATTGTTTATTAAAAATCTCACAATAAATATTAGTGAAATATTTCAATCTAATATGAATTTCCCACTAGCTACAGTTTTAATTTAGTTTTCCACAAGAGTGACTGTTGCACCAGGTAACATCATATGATTTTTAGGGATCACTAAATCATAGATGATTTTCATGACTTATTTAAAAACATGTAACATAAAAATTTCACAAAGTTTTTTTAGTCTTTTGAAGTTAGGAGACCATTAAACTTTGAACCTATTCACTACTCTACATTAGGTAGTAAACTAATTAGGACCCATTTATTAATCACCAACTTATGTCTATCAATAAGGACAAGTAGCAAAATAATTACTGTAAAAAACAAACAGCACCTTATGAGAAAAACTGATTTTCATGTCTAAATATCAAAGTACCCAGGAATGAAATGTCCTACTCTTATTTAAAAGAAGAAGAGGAAGAAGAAGAAGAAGAAGAAGAAGAAGAAGAAGAAGAAGAAGCAGCAGCAGAAGAAGAAATATTTCCTAGGTTTTTTGTCACAATTTTCTCAGTCATTTATAATTCCTTAATCAGTTTTGTATTCTATTTATATTTTGTTTTCAATTTTCATTCTTTCCATTCATAAAGGCATTATGAACATTCTTTTTAAACTCAGAGCTGAATATTTAAATTTACTCTGGTGAACAAATTTCCTGAAGAATTCATCTAGGCATACATAGAAAATGAAACATATCCCCTGGGTGGCTCAGTAGGTTAAATGTCTGACTTTTGATTTAAGCTCAGGTCATGATCTTACATTTCATGAGATCAAGCCCCATGTCGTTGGGCTCTGTACTGGGAACATGGAGCCTGCCTGCGATTCTCTCTCTCTCTCTCTCTCTCTCTCTCTCTCTCTCTCTCTGCTTCTCCCCTAGTCTCTCTCAAAATAAATAAAAACTTTAAAAAAATAAAAATTAAAAAAAATTAAACATATTAGGTATTTTATAAAAGTTAGAGACTTTTAATTAAGTTTAAGAAATGTTTTTAAATCCTATTTTGACCTTCAAATTTACACCTGATTTTAGGAACAATTGCCAGTGATGTTTACTTTATTCTTTTATTCACTATAATCACCTGTAGTGGGGGGGGGTGTCACATTAGTTTCTTTAAACTTTTGAAAATATCTGTTACTTAATCTTTTCAAGCATTAGCAGTGTCTTAAACGTGATTATTGATTTCTTCTGTCCCTGCATGACTATCCTGCACTGTGAACCATACAAAATTCCTCAAAAAATTTTTTTTTCACCCAAGTGACTAACAAATGACTCACAGAACCTACAGGGCCTGGGCAGAGTCATCTAGCTGATACACTACATGGGATAAAAGTGAACATACTGAATTCTCTTAATGGGTGTAATGGTTATTTTCCCAATAACTATTTGGATGAATTCCTAAGGATGAAAATGGGGACACGCACTTTGAAATATCATTTATTCATTTATTTAATGTTCATTTGTTTGTTTCTAATTTTTGAGAGAGAGAAATAGAGAGCAAGAGTGGGAGACAGAGAATTGCAAGCAGGCTCCACACTGTCAGTGCAGGGCCCACCGGTGGGGCTCAAACTCACAAACTGTGAGATCATGACCCGAGCCAAAATTAAGTCGGCTGCTTAACTGACAGAGCCACCCAGGTGCCCCTGAAATAGACAGCATTTATAGTGGACAGCCTAAAATTTGGGAAACTGGGGAGATAAGGAGAATGTTACTGATCTTTTATGAAATAATAAATAGTTGCCTTCTGCGAGGTTCTGTCAGCTCTACAGACAGCAGCTTTAGCAAATCTGTTTGGTTTTTTTCATTCTCATAAAGAAACACCTAGCATTATTTGATATTCCAACATCTGATACTAAATCTCTACTTTCTCATACTTCCTTGGGAAATTCTGATGCTAAATCTCTACTTTCTCCTATTTCCTTGGGAAATTCTGGAGAAAATGGGGGAAAAAAATGCTACTCTCCAAAGAATACGGGAAAATAAAAAAAGTAGAGAGACAGTGAGGCATTTGGGAGAAGGTAGGTAAGAAAGAAGATTGCAGGGAAGAGATGGACTAGAGCAGAAAAATAGTGATCTTGCTAATACAGGATATATACTTGCTTTATTACCAGGACAACCTTTGGTCTAAATTACTATACCCATTCAGGAAACGGAAGTTGTGAGATCACCATCGCCATCAACCAGTTTAATTACTATATACAGATGAACTACTTTGCAAGCATTTTTCTGTTCATTTGCAAGAAATTACCATGAATTTTTGCCATGTGTCTCTGTGTCAGAACTACTTAGAGTGTTTTAAAATTTAACAATTAAAAATACTTTTTAATTCATAACGTGAAGAAAGTTTAGCAAAACTTATGAATTTTTAAAACCTTGACACTGTAATTAGGTCCCTAATGTGACTGCATATCTGCATTTATAGCATCTGAATTTATAACATATCTGTATTTCTGACAGGGTCTATCGGTGATCCTTCTGCGACAAGATCACCAAATATTTTCTTTACGTACTTAACACCGGTATGTTCTATGAAAAGTTGATTTATTTTATATAAGAGCATAACCACTCTGTAGAACTAGACACTTTTCTGTGCTAACATATCATTACATAAATCTCATTGAATCTGTCTTGTACTACAGGTAATTCTGGGCCTACTATAAACTTTTATTCATGTGGATACAATCTATTTGCTCTTTCATTTTTCTAAACTACAACTGAATATTTCCTTTATAATTTGAAAGGTAGGGCTTTGATGGTATTTATTTTAGTTTTATAATTCAACTCCCTGAGGGTATTATACAGGGAACTGGGAAAATGAATACTTATAACCTGGGAATATGTGTATGTGAATTTATTTCTGTACCTCATGCCAAGTCTACTATGTAAATGTCAGTTTGTTCCCTGCTTTTGGGTGAGTAAGTCACTTTGATTAGAAGTCAAGCTAAAATAAATCCTTCAACTCACAGGCCTTGTTTTTTTCTTTTTGTTTCTAGGTCAATGCTTATTTTTCTGCAGGTACTCACCTCCGCTCTGAGCTGCCAAACAGGCTTGTCTCCAGGATTCATCTCCACTAATTAAGAAGCTGAGTCCGAAGGAAAAAAATAGGCCCCGCCCCCACCAGTTCCTCCTCCAGGCGCTTCAATCCTGATGATTGCCCCTTTGCAAACACTTGGAGTTGCAATCCAGGGAATCCTGTAAAATATCTTCCACTCATTTGCTAAAGCTGAAAGTATGTTCATATATCAAATCCCTGGAGATGTCCTGTCTTTCTCTCCTTTGTTCAAACTATATTTTGTGAATATGGTACAGAGCTTGTTAAGTGGTGATCAGATCATTCTCTAGTTGGATTTAAAAGACTTTTCCTTTGATAGATGCACATGCACTTCCTCTGCCAATTCTCTCAAAAGCTTTCTTTTACATTAAAGAAGATGCTAACGTTAAAGAAGAGTTGGTGTCTGTTAAGACTGCACCACTTGGATTAAATTATTCTGTGTTTTCAGTCTGTTTTACATATGGTTGTACACGAGACTCCATGTGCGCAAAAATAGCCAGCATTATTAAACAAGACACGTGAAATGAGAACAGGTAAAATGATGCAAATGGCAGAAAACTATTCGGGGAGTTATGACGAATCTAAACCAAAAATATACATCCAAATATTACATTACTACTTTCAGGGGCAACAGAGACGAAAACGAAGTTCACAGGTAGTTCCGTATTACATTGAGTATCAGGACTATTCAGATTTTGAAGAGTTCATGAGAAATTGCAAATTAGAAAAAGGGATAAGCTTTTCTTCTACCCCATACCTCTGAAAAATAGTTTATATTTCTTTCATGAGAAAATGCCCCTAGAAATATTATTTTGATTAATGAGATTCTTAAAATCACTTGGGAGCCTCATTGAGATACACTATCGCAGGATTACTACTTTACAAAATGTTCAGTACTCTTAACAATAAGGACCTTAGGCACAAAGTACTAGGGTTTTTGAAATTTTCTTATTAGTCAGAAGTATTTGTTTAGTGCATTAGACTGTTTCTCCAGTAACTCTGGAAATACCTTTTAAACTTTAGTCCCATATGTTTAAAAGTTAGGAAATATCCTATTTATCCTTATTTAGTAAGCAAAGAACACATAAACATTCTCATTTAATGTAGGTATGACATTTGAAAAAAGTGATTAACAACCAATCTGCAGAGCTAGACAAGTTTCTGTATTAATATAGCATTACATTAACCTCGTTGAATCTTTCTTTTACTATAAGTAATTCTGATAAAATAAATTTGACACATGCTTTAAAAGATTAAAGAAACAAATCTGACTTAATCATTTTGGGCAATATACAAAGTGGAATTAGGTGGAAACAAAGAAAGCTCCAAAAATAAGTGTGCATCTATCTGGCCAGGTTATATTCAGCATTTTCTCACTTCTACATTTCTGTACTTCAGAGAATCCTTCTAAGAGGTCTAGGGTCTACCAGACCATTAAAAAATGCTGCCACATATTTAAAAACTATCAATAGAAACCCCCAATTAAAATTTATCTTCCTTCTGCTTCATTTCCTGGGAAACTTTTTCTATCCTAATTTTAACTAAGTTAATTTATATTCAAAATTTAACTAATTTACTTTAGCAACTCTTACTCAGCTCTTTTCTTTCTTCCAAACATTACTATGTGCTCATGATATTTTTGTTTTATACAGCCTATGATTAAAGATATAAGGCACATTTAAAACACCTAGACTATCAAAAAACCAGTAAGTGTCCCAGAGAGATGTGAATGTCCTCTTTGGGCAGAGATGACGTTAAAAGGTTTCTGTACAACATGGATGCAGAGAAAGAACACTTTCCATAATAATTTTTTTTTTTAAAACACATGATACAGGAAATTAAGCATTTCTTGAATAACAGAATATACTATTGCAGTTTGGAGACAGAGGACATTTTTTTATAAAAGGGTTGTAAACAAGGCAAGAATGTACATATGTAAGAAGAATGTACTGGGAAGCATCCTAAGTGAGACAGTAGGGGATGATAAAACTAAAGTTTTTGTTTTAAAAATAATAACAATAAATAAAGCTTTTCTTGCTTTTTTGTTTTTTAATGTTTATTTATTTATTTGAGAGAGAGAGCATGAGCAAGAGAGTGGTCATGAGAGAGGGAGAGAGAGGATCCCAAGCAGGCTCTGTGTGTCAGAGTGGAGCCCAACACGGGGTTCAGTCCCACCAACTGTGAGATCATGACCTGAGCTGAAATCAAGAGCTAGTCATTTAACCAACTGCGCCACCCCTGTGCCCTGCTTTTGTTTGTTTTTAATTGATGTACTCATTGTGTAAGCTTTCAGGCAGAGATTTTATTTTATTAGTAACTTGGCTCACTTAAAACCAAAATTTCAATGACAACAGAACTAGTGCCTCTAAGAGTGAGATTTCCCTAATTTTTACTGTTCATTTTAAGATAACTTTTTACTGGGGCACCTGGGTGGCTCAGTCTGTTGAGCTTCTGACTCCTGATGTCAGCTCAGATCATGATCCCAGGGTTGTGGGATTGAGCCCCGCACTCAGTGTGGAGCCTGCTTAAGATTTTCTCTTGCTGTCCCTCTGCCCCTCTTTCCCTCTTGTGGTCTCTCTGTCTCTAAAATAAGATGATTGGGGCGCCTGGGTGGCGCAGTCGGTTAAGCGTCCGGCTTCAGCCAGGTCACGATCTCGCGGTCCATGAGTTCGAGCCCCGCGTCAGGCTCTGGGCTGATGGCTCGGAGCCTGGAGCCTGTTTCCGATTCTATGTCTCCCTCTCTCTCTGCCCCTCCCCCGTTCATGCTCTGTCTCTCTCTGTCCCAAAAATAAATAAACGTTGAAAAAAAAATTTTTTTTAATAAAAAAAATAAAATAAATAAGATGATAAATGATAGATAGATAGATAGAGACAGACATAGATATAGATAGATAGATAGATAGATAGATAGATAGATGATATATAGATATAGATATAGATATAGATATAGATATAGATATAGATAGATATAGATATAGATATAGATATAGATAGGTAGATAGATAAAGTAACTTTTTATTGAAATACATTTCACCACGGGTATCAAAAAGATTAAAAAATCATGAGCATACAGCTGAACGAATGTTAACCAAATAAACACATATGTGTAATCACAGCACAGGTGATGAAACATGACATTTCCAACATTCCATACTTGGCTTAATCTCCTTTAGTTACTGTATCTCCTACAAAGGTAACTGGTATACTGCCTTCTATCATGACAGATTATTTTTGTCTATTTATACATGGAAACCTATATTCTGTACTAATTAGTATCTGTTAAGTAGGCTTGTAATATTCATACTTTGGGTAGCAAAATTTCTTCTTTTTAAAATTTTTTTTTAATGTTTATTTATTTTTGAGAGACAGAGTATGAGCAAGGGAGTGGCAGAGAGAGAGAGAGGGAGGCACAGAATCCAAAGCAGGCTCCAGGTGCTGAGCTGTCAGCACAGAGCCTGACGAATTGTGGGTTCGAGCCCCACGAACTGTGAGATCATGACCTGAGCTGAAGTCGGATGCTTAACCGACTAAGCTACTCAGGTGCCCCAAAATTTCTTTATTATTTATTGTTGCCCCATAGTCCATACTAAGAAGGAAAACAAAATACAATTATCGATTTTACTGTTGGTGGTTACTTGGGCTGTCTCCTGTTTTTGGCTACTGTAAATAGTATAAAAATAAACAGTCTGTTGTGGACTGAACTATGTCTCCTCAAAATTCACATATTGAAGTCCTAATCCCCAAATGTGACTGTATTTGGACATAGGGCCTTTAGGGAGGCAATTAAAGTGAAATGAAACCAAAAGAGTGGGGCTATAATTCCATGGGGTCGACATCCTTGTAAGAAAAGAAAGTGAGAGAAAGACATCTTTCTCTCTGCCTCTATGCCACAGATGTGGTGACGACACCTCAAAAAGGTGGCCATATTCACACCAGAAAGAGAGGTTTCACCCAGAAACCATCCCTGGCACTTTGGGCTTAGACCCTGGCCTCCAGAACTGTGAGAAAATAAATGTTTGTCAGTTAAGTCACCCAGTCTGTTGTATTTTGTTATAGCAACCCAAGTAGACTAATAAACACTCATATATAAATATTATAAAATTCTTGTATTCATTTTAATATAGAGGTTTTGCAAATATCTCATTAGTTTTATATTTAAGTAAATGAAGTTATTTACTACTACTATGCTATCAATCCTTAAATTTCACGTTTGAATTTTCATTGCCAATTTGTAAAAATATAATCATATTTTTAATTGGCCTGGCTTACAGTTCCCTGGAAATTTTATCCTCTTCAACTGTAACAGTTTATTTCTAGATTATCTTGGATTCTCTACATATACTCTAAGTCATTTCCAAATAAGGAGCATTTTATTTTTTCCTTTTCTAAATCTTATAATTTATATTTTCCTGCCTTATTATGCAAGCTAGAATTTATAGTAATATAATAAACAGGAGTGGCAATAGTAAGCACACTTGCCTTATTTCTGATCTTAAGATGAATACTTTCAGGGAGCCTGGGTGGCTCAGTCGGTTAATCATCTGACTCTTGGTTTCAGCTCAAGTCATGATCTCACAGTTAGTGAGTTTGAGCTCCACATTGGGCTCTGCTCTGAGGGCACAGAGCCTGCTTGAAATTCTCTCCCCCCTCTCTCTGCCCCTCCCCTCTTGTGCTCTCTCTCTCTCTCTCAAAATACATACATACATACATACATACAACTTAAAAAAAAAGATGAACACTTTCAATCTTTCACTGTTATGTATGGTATTTAGTGGAGATATTCTAGAAATACTCCTTAACAAATTAAGGTAGTCCTTTGCCATATCTACTAACTACTAACTCTTACACACACACACACACGATAAAATGCATCTACTGAGAGTATCATTTCTTTTCTCTTCCTTTGATTGGGTCATAATTTGATTAGAGAAGGAGAACTACTAAAAGTGATGTCAACTAAGGGGACTATTATATAAATTTGACCTAAAATAGTTAATTAGATAAGCAGTTTATGTAATTCTGTTGACTTGATGTCTGGTCCAGCACTGGGTAGCAACTGCATCTACAGTGCAGGCATTTGGGAAGGAAGATGCATGAAAGGCAGAGAAAACGCAGCATAAACTGGAAACCATGCTACTAGTTGGAACTCACAAGGATAAAATGAAACCCACATTAGCCTCCCACCATATATCTAAGCTTCCAACTTCAAAGGTCTGAGTGACCTGCAGGAGAAAATGGTGACGTTTCAACTGGTCCAGTAGTCCGAGAGGCAGAAAATAGTGACCTAGATGAGGCTGGAGGACCTGCCACCATGTACCAACATCGAGTGTCAGCTGACTGACCATAGCATACATGAATTGCAACAGTGGCTAAACTTTGATTCCCAAGCA